TTTGCCTTTACAAATCTACTTGTAAGTGCTGCTAATCAAAGTGTAGATTCCAGGCAACTTGAAAGTGTCCTTCCAAGTTATAATCCTCAAGCTTTGCCCAAATAAATTCTTTACTTATATTCATGTTGCCTCAGCTTTTTCCTCTTAGGTAGACTTATCATTTAGACTGTGCTAGAGCAGCATCTGTGAGGGGATCTCTCCTTGTACTCTGCTTTCTGTAACACCCAAGGATGCCGAGCCGGGTTGATCCCACCTACAATTTGCAAGTAAGGTCTGGCCTCTGCCTGGGATTTACAAAAAAGGGATGGGCTTTAAATTCAGAATGTACAACAGGAGGCATTTTCTGCATGGTGAGATGTCAACATAGACATCTTGTAACCCCTCCGCCCTTTAAAAGTGTGGCTCTTTGAGCTTTTCAGATCTTGTCCAGTGACCTGCTGCTATTATGTGAGAGGCTCCTAGTGTAAATAGAATCTGATGGCAGAATCTATAAGTCTAAACAAGCATCTTAGGAGTGAGGGATCAAGGCCACAATGTATCCAGAGCCATAACCACAACTATACCTACCTATAAATGTGAAACTGGAGTATTCTTGTCTTTCTTCTTATCTAAGAGTTTGCTAATCACGACAGGTAATTCATGTTCTGGAGCTCGTCCAGGGCAGTTTCATTTTCTATTTAGAATCAGCCTGAGTCTCTCTTTCCTGGCTCATCATTGGGCCATCAGCCCAGAGTCACTGGGAATCCTCTCGCAATCATGTAGGCATCTTTGAGACATTTGAGGATGTTCAGAGCAGAACTGTGTTAGGCTGACAAGAGTGGTTGGTTAATTGTGCTTCTGTCTCAGTGTAAGAGAAATGAGTCATCCTGTGTTTGTTCCTCCTCTCATACAAGAGATGTCTTTGGTTGGCACCCAGATGAGAGTTGCTCCAGTTTTCTAGTACTTGGGTGAAAAATGAGGAGGAGGTCTGGAACTCAAACAGACACACTAATTGCTTCCATTTCATATGGCCATTAGAAAAACAGATGAAGCAGTCATGGTCTCTACCATTTATGAACTTTTAGTCTAGACTAGCAACTGCATAAATGGTTGAATTAAGCATTATATAATTGGTAGAATGAATAGATGTGTGCAGAAAGATTTTGGGCTTCTCTGGGGCCACGTTCTTTATATTGTTGTGACTTCTGATGTCATCACCTGAAGGGATATTTATAGATGGAGACTTTTTATTGTTATTTCTATTTCTTTTACTTTGCTAAGAATACATATTTGTCTTCTAATAAAATTACCCTAGAAATCTGTAAGAAATTTGTTTAAATTGCTTATAATTTATTATGTTACAAAATTGAGGGTGCGGTTATAAAAATTATACAAACTCTGGGATTTAAGTTTCTCTTAGGTAAGCTTAGGAAAAACAGAACTGGAAGTACCTTCAATGGCGTAGAGAGCAGAATTCGATATAGGGTCCCCTCCCTGCCCTAATTCTGTTCAGATCACCCTTTTTGGAGGCCTTATTTAGATCTGTCCCCACTCTGGAACCTTGCCTCATAGAACTGATTAGAAGAGATCAGAGGTTTGGCTGGTGAATTCTCTTTTTTTTTTTTTTTTCTAGAGCTGGTGCTCATGCTTTCTTGAAACCCAAAAGCAGATAAATGAAAAAAAGTATATTTTAGGGTCTTAATTTTTAAATTTTCCATTAAAACTGGTGCTTGCAGAGGCATTCCATTTAGTAACTTGTTTTCTATTCCTGCAGATCCAGTAGTTGCTAGACAGGTTACAAAAAATTAAACATAAAACAATAAAAATGTCTCAAAACTACACCAAATTCTTTCCTTATCCCTCTCATCAGTCTATATTTAGCTTTTATTCTATACAGTTTTTAAAGAAATTGATGACAAACAGAAGAAGAAATAAAAATGCCGGACACTTTATCTAAATTTTGAGATTTATTAAATACTTAGTACCAGCTCCCTCGGTGTTATGAGGATTAAATCCAATAGTGTGTTATTCCCAGCACAGTGCTCCGTAATTATTGCATTAGTACACGTTCACATGTTTATAAAATGCAGACTGCTTCAGATTTTACTGTTGTTTGTTCTGTAAACTTTAAAGAGCCAGTGAAGAATATGATCCTTCAGAATGGAGATGAGTTGTCTTCATTTGTCCTAGAAGTATTTGTGTTGTGAGAAGTGCTGAGTGTAAGCGACTCTGTCCTGTGCCTGCTTTCTCTAACTAATGCTAATCATGAACCCAGGGGAAGCAACATTATCACCGACAGGGAACTTGTTTAAAACACCCATTTTAAACCCCATCAAAACTATCAGAATTACAATACATAGAATGGGACCAAAATTACCAAGTGATTTTTAAGCTCATTAAAGTTTGAGAGGCAATGCTTAGCTAAATGGTTATCAGCCCAGATTTCTTTCTTTCTTTTGTTTTCTGAAATGAAGTCTAGCTCTGTCTCCAGGCTGGAGTGCAGTGGCAAGATCTCGGCTCACTGCAATCTTCACCTCCCAAGTCGAAGCAATTCTCCTGCCTCGGCCTCCTGAGTAGCTGGGATTACAGGCACATGCTGCCATGTCCAGCTGATTTTTGTATTTTTAGTACAGACAGCGTTTCACCATGTTAACCAGGATGGTCTCGATATCCTGACCTCGTGATCCGCCCACCTTGGCCTCCCAAAGTGCTGGGATTATAGGCGTGAGCCACTGTGTCTGGCCTCAGCCCAGATTTCTAACTAGGATTACATGAAAAATTGGCAGAAATCTCTTTACTTGTGCCCTTTCCATGGATTTTGTTTATTCTGGGTGGAAGCATCCATGTCGTTTTAATGAAGTCCCTCATGTGACTCTAAGGTGAGGCCAGAATCAGGTATGATGGATTCAAGATACATTCATGAGAGTTAAGTTTCATCTTTGCACTAGAGGGTGGTTACAGGGCCTTTTTCTGTTTGGGTTTGGTAGGCACAGGGCAGTGTGGCCCATATTTCCTTTACTGTAGCAGAAATTGTTGGTGTCTGTGGCAAGGGAGGGCACCTGAGGACAGAAAAAGAGAAATTTATTTATTAATTTAGAGATGGAGTCTCATTGTGTCGCCAGGCTAGAGTGTGGTGGCGCGATCTCAGCACACTGCAAACCTCTGCCTTCTGGGTTCAATCGTTTCTCCTGCCTCAGCCTCCTGAGTAGCTGGGACTACAGTTGTATGCCACCACACCCAGCTAATTTTTGTATTTTTAGTAGAGGTGGAGTTTCACCATGTTGGCCAGGATGGTCTCGATCTCTTGACCTGGTGATCCACCTGCCTCGGCCTCCCGAAGTTCTGCGATTACAGGTGTGAGCCACCGTGCCCGGCTGGAAAGAGAAATTTTTATTTTTGCCCCCATGGAGCAGTTCATTGTTCCTGAATCCCTTCTGTTATAAAGGACCGAAATGGGTGGGCTTTTTCTGCAGGTTTTGGTCCCTCTGCCTGTGGGTGTGGTACTAGCAGGTTAACAGGTGGTGCTGAAACCTTTAAAGGCATATTTTCAAGATGCAGGTGTAATTTGTCCAAAGAATCTCATCTGAGCAGGAATCCAGAGGAGGAAGATAAAGAGGAAAGAAAGGCTTTTCTTTTAGCTAAACGTGTCTCAGATCAAGAGCAGTGTCCACTTTGCTTCCTGGACTGCCATGTGCTTAGTACTTGCAAATCTTTACTTCTCTACTTTTGTGTTTTTCCTCCCTAATGAGTTTGTTTTAACCAGTTTTAAAAATTCATATAATATCCAGTGATCTCTGCAAAATATTTCTTTCCTATATACCAAAGCCTTTTCTACATTCTGTATATCTTGGTTTCTTATATGCCATGCAGAATTCTCCCCATGAATTTATAATCTGCAATATTAAAATTGTTCTCTTCGTGGTTGTGGACTGTGGGAAGGTGTGGATACTCAAGATTTCTCTTGAGAAAAATTGGGGGTTCTTGGTAAAAATGGAGAAGATGTAATGTTGAGATTCCATCTGTGCTCTCCATTAGCTCTATGCAAAACAGGATTTTAAAAAATGCTTATTTAAACAGGATGGCATTTCTCACCCAGAAAGTTATAAAAAAAATTAGAAGATACATGCTGTATAGGGTACTAAAGAAAGACTACTTAATATCAATATTAAAAGTTACAGAACATAGAAGTTATCTGTATCTTGAACTTTGCATAAAACTGATGTTTCTGTATGGTGACAATGTTTCAGTAGTGATGCTGTGTCCTGTGTGTATCAGCACATTATAAAAATTTGTCCTTGTGCACTTTATATTAATGATTCACTTCGTTAAAGAGCTCTCTGACAGATTTTTTTTTTTACTATAGAGTTAATTATTTTTCTCTTTATTATTAAGTGTCTTTATGCAGCTGACATGCATAAATAATCATATTTAATCTGGAAGCTTCCCTTCTTTCTTAGGTTTTCTTTGCATATGTTTGTGTCTGGAAAATGAAAGCTCTCATCTTTGCTTACAGGCCAGAAAAACTGGGAAAAACACAGGCTCTTTTACTTGATGTTTGACAAAATCTTTTTGGGGCAAAAACATTGGCATTAATGATGAGCAACTCAGACTTTATTGCAGATCTTCTGAAAAAATATCTGCATTAAAAAGATATCAAGTGTACTGTATAACATTAAAATTTAAGAGGTACTTTCTAACTTAGCATGTCTTTTTGATCTGAAAAGTACACACACCTCATTCTCTAGAATGTAAATATAGCACTCAAAAATGTACGTTTGTGTTTATGCCCTTGATTTTATACTTTGTTATCCAGAAAAACAGCATCTATACGCTGATGTTGTGGATCCTATGCCACTCTATTTTCTCAGAATATTTCTGTGTGGAAATTCATTTTATTGGACAATTTTAGTCAGTCCTATAAGTCAGAACCAGTCCTCTTTACTCTCACATTTCACCTTGAGTCAAATTAAAAATTCTGCCCGTGGCCAGTTGGTAAATACGTGTGTTTGTATGTTTTTCAGCCATCATTGACATTTATGGATGTGGCCATAGAATTCTCTCTGGAGGAGTGGCAATGCCTGGACAAAGCACAGCAAAATTTATATAAAAATGTGATGTTAGAGAACTACAGAAACCTGGTCTTCCTGGGTGAGAATAACTTCAATACACCATTTCTAATATATCCTAAAGGTTTTATTTCTGTTCTTTGTAGATTGTTTTTTGGTAAAGTATGCTTTGCATAAACGAGTTTCAGATTCTCATTTTCAAGAAAATATTGCTGATTTATCCATGTAGAAGACAATTTCTTCAGGGTGTTTTATTTTGACATTAACTTTCCACATTCCTGAGCTAATCTGCATTCTTAGCTCTGGATTAGTGTTAATTCCAGAAATTCAGTGGCCTAAAATACTGTTTCCCACACTTTAAAATCTAATTGCCACCATCAATTTCTGATTCAGTAGTTCTGGGTAGTGAAATTAAGTACCTACAAATTAAAAATGTTTTCTAAATAGTTAGAAGTTTCTGTTATAAATTAGTATTTTGGGATTAATTTACTAGAATATTCTATTACATCCTCTTTATTGTACACATTACTAAGTTGGCAATTACAGAATATGGGCAAGATTAATTTTATTTACTTTTAATAAAACAGGTATTGTTGCCTCTAAGCCAGACCTAATTACCTGTCTGGAAAAAGAAAAAGAGCCCTGGAATATGAAGCAACATGAGATAGTGGATGAACCCCCGGGTAGGTGAGAGTGAACACAACAAACAACACAGACGAGAGGTCCCAAGGTCAAAGAGAAAGCCAGTCTTTAAAATGTAATTTGGGGAAGCTGTGTTTCAAAACAAATAATTTCTATAAAGCTGGGTTGTTTTTAAAATTTTCCTCTCATTTCGGGGCATCTTCCGTCTTATGCTTTTGAATTCTCTATGGAGCTTTCCCCTCAGTGATCTTTTTTCAAGCTTACAGTGAGAGCCGAAGTCCTCTTCGTGGCATATAAGAGACTGCACAATCTGACTAGTTTTCCATTGTTTGGAAGATACACAAACATCTGCATAATTTTGAGAAACTCTCTATGATTACACTACTTTTTAAGTTTTCTTTTTGCATTATATCTGAAAGGTGTGAGTAGTGGTTTCTGTTCTTTTTTTGTTGTTCTTAATTTTTCTGCACATTCCATCCTGTTTTTAAAACTATAGTCTTGAAATATAGTTTGACATTTTAAAGTATGATGTTTCTCTGCTTTGTTCTTTTTCCTCAAGATTGCTTTGGCTATTCAAAGTTTATTGTAGTTTTATGTACATTTTAGAATCGTGTTTTTCATTACTGTGAAAAAACTACCACTTAAGTTTTGATTGGGAGTTTATTGAATCTATAGATCACTTTGAATAATATGGCATTTTAACAATATTCTTTCAATCCATAGATATAAAATGTTTTTAAATTTATTTGTTCTTTCTAATTTCTTTCATTGATGTATCTTTAATTGTAAAGATTTTTTACATCCTTGGATAAATTTGTTTTCAGAAATTTACTATCTTAATGCTATTGTAAATAAGATTGTTTTCTTTTTCTCTATTTTATCAGATAATTTGTTTTAATGTATGGAACCATAACTCGTATGTTAATTTTATATTTTGCTAATTTACTGAGTGCATTTATTAATTTAGACAAGTTTTAATGTACTGTTTATGGTTTTTGTTTTTGAGAATAAGTCTCGCTGTGTCACCCAGGCTGGAGTACAGTGGTGTGATCTTGGCTTAGTGCAACCTCCACTTTCCGGGTTCAAGCAATTCTCCTGCCTCAGCCTCCTGAGTAGCTGGGATTACAGGCGTGTACCACCACACCCAGCTAATTTTTGTATTTTTAGTAGAGACAGGGTTTCACCATGTTGGCCAGGCTGGTCTTAAACTCCTGACCTCAAATGATCCACCTGCCTTGGCATCCCAAAGTGCTGGGATTATAGGCATGAGCCATCGCACCTGGCCTTGTTTATGGTTTTTAAAATATGAGATCATATGATCTACAAACAGCAACTTTTTACTTTTTTTGTCTTCAATTTTAATGACTTCATCATTGACATATTTATCATTTTTTTGACTTTCTTCTGCCATATACTTGCAGTGCAATGTTAAAATAGAAGCATTGACAATGGGCACAATATAATGTTACATTGGTGTCTGTAAATTTGAAGAAGCAACCACCTCTTTGAGTTTTTATAAACTGGTTTCAGGAGGTAAAGATCTTTCGTTGGGTCCCAGGGTGATGGGATGTCTTCTGGGTTTGTAGTAGAGAGGGGTTTAGCTTCATCACAAGGCTGCTGGGTCTGCACTTGGGTCCACCTTTAGCTGGTTTGTTACAGAGGCTTGTGTAGTTGTAATTCCCATTTTAGTTTTGGACAGACTGAATATCCTTCAGGATTTTGCACTGCAGGGCAGACAGTAGGACAGATTTTTGCCGTTGGGTCTGCATATGGTAGGCCTTACATTGGGATGCAGATGAATATGGCTTTCACTGAGTACCAGAGAGCATTTCCTCAGGTCATTGTGTGAATATCTATCTAAGCAGAACTGGCCATGAACTGTGGCTCAGAGAGCTGGAACTAAGTCATTGAACTGCTTCAGGGACCACAACACAGTAAAGACCAACGTCTGCAGGCCTGTTGCGTGGTTGTAAATGAGTGTCTTCTTCCGGACCTCTGGAAGAAGAGGACCTCTCCCAGATTGTGGCTGGTAAAAGTTTGGGATGATTACAGAGTAAGTAGAATTCTCAGTGTGACCAAATTAGGTGAGCGATTTTCTGGTCCGTAGCCAAGAACGGGGGTCTTGTAGTTTGCCACCGGAATGAGGGTCTGCCTTCTGAAGAGAAACATTCCTCAATTTTGAGCTATAGCAGAGTTTCACAGCTCCCTCACTGGATGGTAAAGCTCTCTCAGAGGTATTCATTTTGGAGATGGGGTGTTGCTACATAACCCAGGCTTGTCTTGAAATCCTAGCCTGAAGCAATTCTCCAACCTTAATGTACCGTGTAGCTGTCATTACAGGTTCGAGCCATGAGGCCTGGTTCTCTCATAAAAGCTTTTTTGTCAGGGATGGTTGAGAAATTTTCTTGCTGTTGGAGGGATAAGAAAATAGGGTAACTGTTATTTCTCCATCTTACTGATTTCACTCTCCCTATATGTTTTTACTTTGTATTTTCTATTCCAAATTTGTCTGTGATTTTGGATTCAGACATTTAGGACAATATGCTAGAATGTATATGTTATGTTTGAAGTAAATTAGATAATTAGTAGGCACTCCATGTTTACTAAAATAGTTACCTATCAATTTAAGTTTCCTGAAGGCAAAAAAAGAATTATAGGATTCGTACCCACTTTCTTTAACCTATATCTAAATAATAATTTATTTCCAAATATTTATTATATATATCAGAGGCTCTAACCCTATTTTGCGTGTGTGCATGTGTGTGTATATATATAAAGATGTAAGACTACTTACTTTTAAAGTTGGATTACAACAGCTTCATTTTGTGTAAGAATAGCATATATTTAAAACACAAAAATCAACTCTAGTTTCTTTTAAATGCTTATTTATTAAAAAGTTTCTTGGCCAGGCGCAGTGGCTCACTCCTGTCATCCTACCACTTTGGGAGGCCAAGGCGGGTAGATCATGAGGTCAAGAGATTGAGACCATCCTGGCCAACATGGTGAAACCCTGTCTCTACTAAAAATACAAAAAGTAGCTGGACGTGGTGGTGCACACCTGTAGTCCTAGCTTCTTGGGAGGCTGAGGCAGGAGAATCACTTGAACCCGGGAGGCAGAGGTTGCAGTGAGCTGAGATCACAACACTACACTCCAGCCTGGTGACAGAGCGAGACTCTGTCTCAAAAAAAAAAAAAAAAAAAAAAGTTTCTCATTAGAATCTTCTATTTATGATTATTCTGCATTCTCTGAAATTTTGCTGTTATATGGTTTATGCCAATGACTCAAAATGCCTTCCCTGAGTACACAGTTACAGCCAAACATTGTAGTTATCCAGACAAATTTTTTGAATTTTACATCAGTGTTGCATTACAGATTTTATGAATAAGCATTTCTGTTATAGTGTGTGTCTTCAGTGTAGGTTTCTTTATTTTTTTTTTTTTTTGAGATGGAGTCTGGCTCTGTCGCCCAGGCTGGATTGCAGTGGCGCGATCTCGGCTCACTGCAAGCTCTGCCTCCCGGGTTTAGGCCATTCTCCTGCCTCAGCCTCCCGAGTAGCTGGGACTACAGGCGCCCGCCACCTCGCCCGGCTAGTTTTTTCTATTTTTTAGTAGAGAAGAGGTTTCACCGTGTTAGCCAGGATGGTCTCGATCTTCTGACCTCGTGATCCGCCCATCTCGGCCTCCCAAAGTGCTGGGATTACAGGCTTGAGTCACCGCGCCCTGACCAGTGTAGATTTCTTAACATTGGTTTATTGTTTTTTTTTTTTGTTTTACTTAGGTATTATAATTTTAGACAATGAGCAATTCTGTTTGTACATTTTAAGTCAATGTGGGGTTTAATTAGATAAATTAGCCATACATCTATCACAATCAGATTATATATCTGTGTATGTTTATCTATAAATATAACCCCAATTTTGGTTATAACTTATATATATTCTTAGCTGATTTTCAATGGTTGTTTTATCTTGTCTCAGTGAGTAGTCATGGAAATAGTCTTATTTTCACCATGTGTTTAATGATGAACATTTGTTTCCTTTGTGTAAGAGAAGCAGTTTTGTGATTTGAAGGTAATTTTTGAAAAGATTTATAATTCTGTAGTTTTTCATTTTTCTTTTAAAAAATTTGTTGTAAAAACATGTAAAATTTACCATCTTAAATCTATTGAAGTGTACATTTCAGGCCTAGGCATAGTGGTGGCTCACATCTGTAATTCTCACGTTTTGGGAGGCCAAGGCAGGAGAATCTCTTGAGCCCAAAATGTTGAGACCAGCCTGGGAAAGATATAAAGATTTTCTCTCCACAAAAAAAATGTTAAAAATGGCCAGGCATGTTGGTATGCACCTGTGGTCTCAGCTACTTGGCAGATTGAGAAGCAAGGATTACTTGAGACTGAGAGTTTGAGACTAATGTGAACCATAATTGTGCCACTGCACTCCAGCTTGGGTGACAGAGTGAGACCCTGTCTGAAAAAAGTCTACATTTCAGGCATCTTAAGTCTATTCACATTGTTATGCAAAAGACTTCTAAAATTTTAACATCTTGTGAAATTAAAACTCAATACCCATTAAGTAACAACAACCCATTTTACCCTCTGTGGAGCCCTTGACAAACACCTTTCTACTTTTTTTTTTTGTAAGTGTGACTACTTAAAATATCTCATATAAGTGGAATCATAGTATTCATCATTTTGTTACTGGCTTATTTCAGGTGACACAGTATTTTCAAAGTTTATCTTAAAATGCAAGAAGTTTTTTTAAGGCTGAATAATATTTCATTGCATGTGTATGTTACATTTTTTGATGTGTTTATAAATCAAGGAGATATCTGGGTTGCTTCAGTTTTTTTGCTTTTGTGAATACTGGTACAATAAACATGGATGTTGACATATGTCTTCCAGGTTCTGTGTTGCATATTTTGGATATAGATTTATAAATGGGATCGCTGTATTTGATAATAATTTTATTTTTAATTATTTGAGAAATATTTATAACTTTTTTTTTTTAATGAGACGGAGTGAGATCACCACAACCTCCCCCTC